ATTTCTCAATTTCTTCTGACCCCAAATACCTCCCTCCAAGTAACTACTATCTTTTAGTATTCTTTTATCTGTATTTTTGAAATTTTTTTAAAAAGATTCCATATCTAAGGGAGACCATGTAATATTTTTTCTGTCTTATTTATTTCCCTTAGCATAAGACAGGCTCCCAATGAGCAGCATTCTTCTAAATAATTCAAAGGTCAAAGAAACCTCAAGAAAGAAAGTAGAAAAAGAAAGAAAGAAAGGAAGAAAGAAATCTCAAGAGAAATTTATAATTATTTTTAACTAAATGAAAAAAATACAAGTTAATAAAATTTCAGACAGACACGGAAAGCAGTGCTTGGAGAGACATTTATAGCATTGAATACGTACATCCAAAAAGAAGATTAATATGGATAATCACAGTTTCCATCTTAAGAAACTAAAAAAAAGAGCAAATTAAATCCAAAGTAAACAAACAAAAAAGTAATAAAAATTAGAGCAGAAATCAATGACATTTTAAATAGGAAAACAATAGAATAATCAAATAAACCAAAAAATGATTCTTTGTAGATATTTCAAAAATTGATATACTTCTAGTCAGGCTCTCTAGGAATGGAGAAATAAGAAAGGAAAAGACAAGAAAACACAAATTACTCGTGTCATCAGTGTAAACAAGGTCATCACCACTGATTCCAAGAACATTAACGAGTTAGTAAGGGTCTATTGTGAAGAGCATTATACCCGTCTGCTAACTTGGATTAAATGAACCAGCTCTTTGAAAGATATAATCTACCAGGATTACACAAGAAGAAATAAATAATTTGAATGGGGCTTTATTAAAGAGATTGAGCCTATGATTAGTGAACTTCTAATATAGAAAATTCCAGACTCAGATGACTTCACCAGGGAATGGTATCCAACATTCAAGAGAGAGATGGTATCAGTTGTCTACAGTCTGTTCCAGAAAACAGAAGGAGAAAGAACACTTCCTGCACTCTACAAGGCCAGTATTTTCCTATACTAAAACCACACATAGTAAAGAAAATGACTACAAAAGCCCAGTATTTATCACGAACAAAGATACAAAACCTCCTGACAGAGTCTGAGCAAATCGCATCCCATAGTGTAGACAAAGGGCACTCTGGGCTACAGAGTGACACCCTCTTTCAGTAAAACACACACACACACACACACACACACGTTCTGGATGTGCGCTAAGATGTGCATATCTAATTTACATGCATGTGTTAAATGCATAGGCATACATTTTCATATGTGGTTACACGTAATCTAACACATACTGATGTTTGTACGCATCTAATTTACATAGTGTACATAGGTATTCATTTATATACATATCTACATATAAAATACATATGTACACATCTTGCTGCATGCAGGTGTGTTGGTTTTTTGGGTAGTTATAATGAAACCTGAATTTCCCCTCCTGATGCATCTTCTTAACCAATTACCTAAACTAGTAACACTGAAATAATCAGAAAGTTTGGTCTAAGAGCAAGATTTACATTCACAAATTATCTGCATTAAACAAGTACACACCGTGGTATGCGTGGGTATTATATTAATGTATTCACAACATTCTTCAGTTTCAAAAAGAGACTGAAAATGCAAACTACATTAAATAAGTAAAAAATTAATTAGAGTAAAAAAACAGCTGAGTTTACTCCATTAGTTCTGACAAAACAATTTACGTGTATTGAAACACTCCCTATTTAAACCAGTTCCTTGGTCAAATTTGTCACTGTGTTATTTTATTTCATCAAATTCTCAAGAAAAAGATTTCCTAAGAAATACTCAATTATGGCTGTTTCAAAATTTCTTCCAAAATTCCTTTTAAGAGCATCAAGTAATTTTAACATAACGTAATCATTGAACATCTAATATTCTCAGAAAGACATGAGGGCAAGAGCAAGGAATTGAAGCCAGGTCCTGAAAGCCGAGTCAGACTGCACGTCCTGGGGCTTCCAATAAATACTAGTGAGGTAACTTTTTATTATTATGTTTATAGCTCTTGCAAAACCGAAGCGGGGCCAAAAAAACCCCACCTTAGTTCATATTAAATGTATTGTACTATAAGTTTTCATCCTCATGCTAAAATGAGAATTTCTACCGGTGTTTTTTATTGAGTGCGAGAGAATCCTCGTGAAATTGTAAACAATCTAAATGGCTCCTTTTAATCTTATGCAGTTCCGTTTCTTCTTCACTTCAGACTGTGGGAAACACTCTGTCATCCAAAGGAGCATTAAAAAATTAATAATTTATACATGTTAAGAGCCTATGTTATCATCATGGTAGGTTTCAATAATTCTGGATGGTTTTCAGTTTACTGCTCAAGTGTAATTGATCACCATACAAGAAATGTAATAAAATATTAGAAATGTTTAAATGTCTTGCTATGTAATTTAAGTTGTTGGCCTTGAGCTCACTCCGTCGCCCAGCAGCAGTCTTCCTGCCTCACTTACATATTGCTGAGATTACAGGTATTCACTTCCACGCCTAGCTAGAAATGTTAGTACTTTTTTACTTTATTCATCAATATTTATCAACATTTATACAAACTCAAATGAGATATGATCTCTTCTCTCAAGAAACAAAAACGTTGGAGAACCCAGCTTTTCAACCTCAGGATTATTTACATTTGGGTTGACTCATCCTTTGGGGTGTGTGTGTGTGTGTGTGTGTGTCTTGTTTTGTTTTTGAGGGGGTGATTCTTTTGTACATGGTACAATGTTAATGTCATCCCTAGTCTGTGATTAATAAGCAGGTAATTGGATGGCCAAAGGGTGGGTGGGTGAACACAGGCATGGTAGGTGGACTGATGGATGGATGAATAGGTGCCTGGGTGGAAAGCTGGATTGATAAATGGATAGATAGATAGATGCATGACGAGAGGAAGGATGGATGAATACATAGTTAGGTGGATGGGTATACATTATATGCACATAAAGAGCTATTGTACTGTACCTCATAAATTTGTACAAGTATCAATTATAAAGAAGAACAAAGCAGGCTGGGCATGTAGCTCAGTAGTAGAGCACTTGCCTCTATGTGCAAGGCCCTGGGTTCAATTCCCAGAGCTCCAAAAAAGGAAAGGCAAGGGAAGGGAACAGAAGGAAAACAAAGGAAAGAACCTGAGTTAGAGGAAGGCAACCCCTCAGCTCTCCACAGCCTGGTTCTCTGCTTGTTTGCGAGGTCCAGTTTCTGGGATAGATGTGGACCAATTTGGAGCCAAAGATCCCCAGGAAAAAAGCAGAACACTGTTGTCTCATGTCGGACTCATTGGTAATGATGCACAGCTGTTATATTTTAACAGTTTTTGGTTGATCACCTGCCAAAGACCTCTTGAAAGCCTGATTAAGCCGTATTCACAGATAAGGCTGTATGCAGAGGCATGTTTAATGCTTAAGGTGACTGTAAGAGATAAATAACAGCTTAAGCTTAGAGGAATCTTTTGCCTATTTTTCATAGTAGGTTACATACACATAAATATTTTGTGCCAAACACGTCCAGTGCAGAAGTTTCTACTCCCCTCTAGGACTTTGTTTTGAAGGAGAGTATTAGAAGAGGTTTTGTTTGTTTTTAAACTCTATACAACTTGAACTTACCACTAGGGAGACACCTTAGGGACTTGTTAAAACCTTAATACCCCTGACTTGAAATTGGGGGTAACTGACGTTGTTTGATACTGTCTTTTAAAGGTTATTTCTTAATGTAGCTCCCCTTTCCCATTAAGTATTACTACATTGTTCAGCCACAGTGAGACACAGCAAAAACAATTTGTAAACATTTCTTCTTGTTAAACCATGTCATCAGTAGATTATTTGGAATAGCAAGTTTTCATTTTTACCTTTGATTTCCATAAAACTACTTTAAATTATTTTTATGTGAATGAAAAAGACTCAGATCAGTCACCTAAGCCCTCTTGGCCTTTGGTTTTCTTATCTGTAAAGGTTTAGATGTTTTCAGGCTTCCCTCAGCTCTAGAAACCTAGAATTCTATGGTAAGATCTAAGCCTAATCTAACCCAAACCCCCAAACCCTACCAGTTTGTATGGTATTTGAACATTCTTTCATGAGTCACCTTAAAATTTCCTGTAAATTCTGCCGCAAAACTGTGGAGGACAAACAGCATTTGCCACCTCTGTGGACTTCTCAGCTAGCACCCGCATTATCTTTCCATTTGTGGGATGAAAGCTTTGCTCTCGTTAAGAAAGTTTTTCCCTCTTCTCCTCCCTAGCTTCCTAGTTTGGCCTCAAGTTTTAAACTCTTAAGACACTTTTGTCTGGAGCTTCCAGTGCGCTTAACAATTTCTCCACACGGGGGAATTGATTCCTTCCTCATTCACACATGCCTGCTGCGTTACTTTGAGATGCTTAATTTGCTGTAAAAATTACACCATGGCTCACTCCCAAAGTCTCCTTCCTGATTTCGTGAGCATCTCCCGGGCCAGGTGTAGCAGAGGTACCAGAACTGGGATCCGGGGCCTGAGCCATGCCAGGCTCTACTGTGTGTTTGAAGTATACTTGAGCATGTAATCATGTATCCTGAGCAATCATTTATTTCATGCTGTCTGTTCCAATTAAATGCATTCCCAAGTATGTTTGCATAACTTAAGCTCCAAATTGTTAAGATATCTGGTTTAATTTTTCAAACTTCCTCAATTTTCATGGTTAGATTGTATGACATTTTTATACTACAGAACACTTTCCTTATATGAAAAGGCCAAGCGTTGCCACATGAACATTTTTCACTTTCCAAGTAAAATGTCCCTACCTACCCTGAGTCTGATGTGAACAGAGAGAGCAGATTGTGGGAAAATGTGAAAACAAATTCTTTTGGTCATGTTAGGCCACGGAGAACTAAGATCCTGGCTTAACCACCCTCTCATATCTGTTGTCACAACATTCACTTCTTTTTTTTTACTAAGACCTACAAAATTGTTCAATTTGTGCTTTATATTCAATCTTAATTCATTAAAGGAGACCTTAATTATCTTACCACAATTCCAAGATTGGTGATTTTATAACACTCAGATAAAGACAGTTCCTTCAGTTTCTTATGTCTTGAAAGTGATACCAATCCCTAAAAATACAGAGATCATCTTGTAATTTTAATTTAGTATACAGGTGTATTTTAATAACCATTCATGCAAACTAACAGCATAAAAATTTTGTATAAACTAAAAAAATAGCTTTTATCTTACATTTCTTTACATCTAAGCATAAAACAACTTTGGACAGAAAATGTCATTAAGTACAATTCTCAGGTTATCCCTACTGTTGTGTTAAAAAAAAAAAAGTTACAGAATTCCAGGGCCAGAAAACTTAGAAAGTGATTATGGTTGATATCTGTTTCCAGATGTTATGTGACTCAAGACAAACAACTCTAACAACTTTATTGTGAAGACACTTTATGTGGCTAATGAATTGATTAGTAAGGTTTCTTTTATTTATAACCTAAAAATCTGAAAATCCATAGCTCATTTTCATAATGCTGAATGCCTTGAAGACAAAGGGGACGGATCCTTATACAAAGACAGATATTCACTCATAAGTAGTCCACTTCCTTTTCGGGTCTAAAGCTTTATTTTTTGTAATGAAAAAAAGTAGACTGCACCTTATATTTTTTATGTGTGGCTGTCGTGTCCTATTTCTCCATATTTTCCCCCTGAACTGGCTGGTCCAACCCTCAGATAAAGAACTGATAAATGTAGTTTATAGATGTAAACAGTATTATCACATTCAGGATAATACTACTTTCACAGCTTCATGGGTAGCTCCTAAATCAGGGGGATAAGAACAGGGGTTTTTCACATTTTACTCTTTCTCTCTTCTTTCTTTCTTTCTTTCCCCATGATTCCAGAACCAGCTGGCAGGAAAAAATGTAACAAATGACTATGTACTTGTCCTTTTAATACTGTATTTGCTGGGATGGTTTACATTTTATTGGTCTGAAATGCAACATTTGGGCTATAATTGAAGATGTTATGTAATATTAGATCCTGTATTTTTCCCACATGCACAGATTGGGCCCTTTCATTTAAAGAAAAAGCAAAAACAAAAGCCAAAAAAGTCCAAAGCAATGGAAAAGGGGCTGGATTTAAGCCACCATTTAAACTGTGATTTCTAATTTTGTTTTATGGTTCTGTACACCAACCAAAAATTAAATCATTCTGTTCGTTCTCTTAATTTTATTGTGATTGTGGATTCTTTTACTAAGAATACATTATGTTTCTGTTTTCTTGTTTCAAAACAAAGAATGGTCAAGCCCTGTGTAGCTGTTGCATGTGGTCTGGGTTCCAGATGTGAATGCTATTCTATTCATGCTGCAAGAATTGGGTGAGTTTACATATTCCCCTAGTGAAAACCAAACTGAACAAAAATACCCACCAGAGATGCAAAGTTTGTCTCTTTGCTCTATACTTGATAAGAATAAGTATGCTTTATTATCCTATGAGAAATTTGTTCTACAAAATGATCTCTAAAGTTTACATTAAGATTTTACTTTCATGTAGCCAAATCTGAATTTATTTCATTTTCATTTTTTATTAGTACACATTTGCAGCACATAATGATCACATTCCCTGTGTGGAATTAGTAAATGCACGTAACACATCTTAATTCCTTTCCATCTCCTGTTCCCTCCCTGTCTTTTTCTCTCTCCCTCCATTTCTTGATTCCCTTCAATTCTTTAGGGTTAGCTGCAAATAAAGTCTATTTGCTAAATATGATATTATTAATCTATATTTACTACTTTAGTAAAAAAGTCATTAAAATTAAAATGCTGAAATGGCATGCCAGGTTTAATCACTATATTTGTTTTTTCTGTTGTTGTTGTTGTTGTTGTTTTGTGGTACCAGGGACTGAACTCACAACCTCAGGCTTGCCAAGCAGGAGCTTATGCCGCTGCGCTAAATCCCTGGCCCCTAATCACTATATTTACTTATTTAAAAACATGGACTCAAAATTGAATTGATTGATATCATTAGGCATTAGATAAATCTACAATGCGACACTACAACACACTTAGTAGCATAGATATAACTTAAATATAGACATGAAACGTGTTCATGAAGATGTGGACAATTTGGAAACCTTCCTCTACTGCTGGCAGAAATGCAAACTGGACCAGCCATTCTGGATAAGTCTGACGGTTCCTTAAAAAGTTAAACAAAGAACAGCACAATATGAATACAGAAATAGACATGTAGACCAGTGGAATAGAAGGGAAGACACAGAAACAACCCCATGAAGGTACAACCATTTGATTTTTTAAAAGGGGGCCAAAAACACATGCTTGAGGACAGATAGTCACTTTAACACATGGTGTTATGAAAATAGGCAGATGGAGGGAAATAGCCAGATCCTTCTCTTGCACCAACTTCCAAATCAGATAAAAACAGATCAAAGATCTAAATATCAGACTTAACACTTTGAAACTGCCGGAAGGAAACAGGGGAAACACTTGACTCCATAGGCAGAAGCAAAGACTTTCTAAAGAGGACTCAAATAGCACAGGAAATAGTATAAAAAGTCAACTACATATTAAGAAACTTCTGCACAAAAAAGAAACAATCAACAGGGTGAAGAGAAAACCTACAGAATGGGAGAAAATTCTTGCTAGTCATTCTTCCAACAGATAATTAATATCTAGAATATATAAAGAACTCAAAAAACATAACACCACGAAACCAAAGAGCCCAATCAATACACTGTCAAATGAACTGAGACACTTCTCAAAAGAAGTTCAAGTGGCCAACAAATACATGAAAAAAATACCCCTTAGCTGCTAGGGAAATGCAAGTCCAAACTGTAGTGAGATTCCATCGCACCCTAGTCAGATTACAGATTACACTAAAAAATGTGAATTGCATACTTGAAACTGGTGAGTTTTTCATCTTAATAAAGATGTTATTTTAAAAGTTGAATTGACTGACATAATAATCGCATACATGAAAACCAGAATATACTCTTACAGAGTCCTTTAGTGCAAGATGAATATGGAAAAGCCCAACTTCTCATACATTCTTGTTAGTTAGCTTCATATGTAGAAGACTGTGTTGTACTAAACACAACTTTGCACCCGAGCAGCAACAGATCTAAGCCAGTAAGAGGAGATGGAGCCTTCACTGAGACCTGTCTCTTGCTACCGACAGGAGAGCAGTGTCAGGACACAAGGCTTAACAAAGACAGAGGAACTGAGTTATAAGAGATTTGACCTTGTGTGTTATTCTAAGAAATCTGGGCTTCATCCAATACAACAAAGATAAACAGAACCACCTCTCTGTGGTACATGTGTGACCACAACACAACTCTAGGGTAGTTTCTTTCTTTCTTTTTTTAAGAAAGGATTTCACTCCATAGTCCAGGCTGGCCTTGAACTTTCTTTATAGCCCAGGCTGGCCTTGAAGTCACCGCGATCTTCTTGCCGCAGCCTCCCAGGTGCTGGGATTGCAGGCATGTGCCATCGTGCCTGTCTTAGAAAAGACACTTGATGAGAAAGGAGAATTTGAATGAAGCCTGTAAGGTTAGATATGATTTTGACTAGCAAGATAATAAGAACAGGGTTTCGGGCTGAGGAAAAGGCAGGCACAGGGACTTCATTTGGAAAGTGTGAGTTGTTTGGAAGTAGTTCAGAATGGGGTCGCTGGGATTAGTGAGAGGGAAGCCAGGACATGGCCAGGAGCAGATCCGTGCACACAAGACATTTGGGAGCAGAAAAATCCTTGAACACTACGCTTTTCCCCACAGTTTTACATCTGGAATTGTTTAGCTAATATAGATAGATATTAGCAGTGAACGAGTTGCCCCAAGTGGGAATGTGAGTGTGTGTGAGCGTGTGTGCACACATATGTGTACCTACTATATGGTGGAGTCAAACTACTCTTGGCTTAGAATATCACCAACTAAACATACTATAAAGCATCCTTTCCCCAACTCTTTATTTTGTAAATTTACAGAAAGATCCAAAGAATGGTACAATGGACACCCATGTGCCCTTTACCTAGATTCCTCAATTACACACATTTTTCCATGAACACCTACATTTTATTCATGCATGTATGACTATACTTCTATACGTATGTAAATATATCTGTTTTACATAGCTTACATAAGGTTTTTCTGAACCCTTTGAAAATAAAGTTTCAGCTATCATGAAACTTTACCCCTAACAGTGTGCATGCATCTCCTAAGGACCAGATATTCTTCTATGTAATTATTTAGTATGAGGTATACATGGTATAGTCTACAGTCTTATCACACTCAACAAAAATAATAGTAACACCATGGCACTTAATACAAAGTCAATGTTCAGTTTTACATTTGTATCAAGGACCCCGTCATAGTTTATCCATTGCATTTGGTGGTCACATCTTTTTAACTGTCTCTAAATTTTGTCTTTTAAGATGTTGACATTTTTGCAGAGCCAACCCAATTACAGTGTAGAATGTCCCACAGCGTGGATTTTTCTGATTGTTCCTTATTATGATTAGGTTCAAGGTAAATATTTTTGCAAAAATATTTTGCAAAAACAATGTCTCTACTCCCAGAGCGGGCACACAATCCCCCTGTCACACCATCAGCAATGTCAGGGTCACTTGGTCCAGATCTCTTCTTAGAAGGCTATCTCCCACTCCCCCCCTTTAAATTTTTTTAATAAATTACCCTTCCTGTGATTCTTTGACATTGTATGAAAGCTGTTTACCAACAACTTGTTAATTAATAATCTTAGTATTCACAGGTGATCCTTGACTAAATCGACCATCACAATGACTGGGAGTTGCAAAATCCTGATTTTTAAATTCTTTCCTTCATTTTACATTTTTTAAAGCTGATATTCATTTAAATCATCTTTCTATTATCTTTCCCTTTAATTCTGCTGAATATTTTGGAAAATGCTTTGAGTTCAATAAGATTGGTTTAAAGATAGCTTTAGCTGTCCTGATTAGCTTTATGCTATCCATTAATAATCTTTTTTTTTTTTTTTTTTTGATGTGGGGAATCAAATTCGTGACCTCACACTTGCCAGGCAGGCTTATACCACTGAGCTAAATCTCCAGCCCTAATCTTTTGTTTTTTAAG